ATGCTGTGTTACCTCTGTTGCGTGTCCATTTATACAAGGGTTTGTTTGTCTGTCCTTGCACCAATACCACCCTTTCTTAATGACACCACATGGCATTAAAACAGCCTTGATATCTGGAAAGACATGTCCTCCCATATTGTCGTTCTTCAAAAGTGTCTTGGCTATTCTTACCTTTTTATATAATTTTAGAATTGGCTTGTGATGCTTAAAAAAATATGTGGGATTACATTGAATCTATAGATCAAATTTGACAAGAAATGAGAATTTTCCAATACCAGGTTCTCCCATCTATTAATATAGTCTAATTCTCTAATTTACTTAGGTCCTCCTTAATGTCTCCCAATAAGATTTATAATTTTTTTCATAGAATTGCATATTTGTATGCTATTATAAGTGGTATCTTTTTAAAGTTTGATCTTCTAACTTTGCTCCTGATATTTAGAAATAAAATGTAGGGTTTTTGTTTGTTTGTTTGTTTTCTTGCGGTACGTGGGCCTCTCACTGCTGCGGCCTCTCCCGTCGCGGAGCACAGGCTCTGGATGCACACAGGCTCAGTGGCCATGGCTCACGGGCCCAGCTGCTCCGCAGCATGTGGGATCCTCCCGGACCGGCGCACGAACCTGCATCCCCTGCATCGGCAGGCAGACTCAACCACTGCGCCACCAGGGAAGCCCCTAAAATGTAGGGTTTTATATTGATTTTATTTCTATCAACCTTGTTAGACTTTCTTATTAACTATTTCATTTTGTAATTTGTTGAAAACTGAATTTCCAGTTCACCAGATTCAGCAGAGCCCTCAGGACAAAGCAGCTCCCACTCTGAGTGCTGCACTTTCACTCTGAGTACTTGCCTTCACTTGGTCATATAGCTGCCTCCCAATTTTCCATTTTACCATACTGCTTCTCAAGTCTTCTCCTCAGCATGAAATGGAGAAAATGATGTTTAATTCACATAAATTGGAATGTGAAAGCTCTTTGGAAAATGGGTTGTATTCATTGTAAAGGCCTGTGGTGGCAGGTGGTGACTAGAAGGAGGTTTGCTAGTAGTAGTGGTTTGGGTGTTGACCTACATGTTGGAGGAGATGAACTAGCCTTCCAGCACATTTCAGTAAACTGCCTATTCTTAGCCGAGAGGGGCAGTTTACCAGACTCTGCTACGCACCAGCATGTTGGGAAGAATAATCCTCGATACCTGTTGAGTAGCTCTTTTGGGGAAACAGGATTTGATACCGGACCCCATGCAAAAGGAGAAGCGTCTGTGTGAGTAATAATCAGTGTTGTATGACCCCCAGAACCCTCATGTCCTTGAGCAACAGCTCCTGGTGTTCAGGAGAACGTGGCCTAATTTGGGAGAAGCCAAGGGAGCAGCCTTGGCCACCGTTTCTGACATCACTCAAAAATGTTCTCTCTTGGGGCTTCCCTGGTGGCGCAGTGGTTAAGAATCCGCCTGCCAATGCAGGGGACACGGGTTCGAGTCCTGATCCGGGAAGATCCCACATGCTGCGGAGCAACTGAGCCCATGCGCCACAACTACTGAAGCCCGCACTCTAGAGCCCGCAAGCCACAACTACTGAGCCTGCACGCCTAGAGCCCATGCCCTGCAACAAGAGAAGCCACCGCAGTGAGAAGCCCACGCACTGCAATGAAGAGTAGCCCCTGCTCGCCACAACTAAAGAAAGCCCATGTGCAGCAACAAAGACCCAACACAGCCAAAATAAATAAAATTTTTTTTAGGGCTTCCCTGGTGGCGCAGTGGTTGAGAGTCCGCCTGCCGATGCAGGGGACACGGGTTCGTGCCCCGGTGTGGGAGGATCCCACATGCCGCGGAGTGGCTGGGCCCGTGAGCCATGGCTGCTGAGCCTGCGCATCTGGAGCCTGTGCTCCGCAACGGGTGAGGCCACAGCAGTGAGAGGCCCGCGTACCACAAAAAAAAAGAAAAAAAAATTTTTTTTTTAAATATTCTTTCTTAAAAAACAAAGAAAGAAATTTTTAAATGAAAAGAAAAGTAACAAAACAAAAAAATATTCTCTCTAGATCTGCTTTGGATTGTAGGTTTAAATTAAAATACTGTGCATTCTGGATGATCTTCCTCCAAATTGTTAGAAAATTTGTTAAAGCGCCTTGGTCAAGAGTAACACACTGATTTTTTTTCATGCAGTTTTGATGGATATATTTGTTAAGGCTCTTTGCATAAGAGTGGTGGAAACCAATTCCAGCCAGCTTAAGCAAAAATAATTTTTTACAGGGATTCCACAAGTTTCTTCTGGAATCCAAGGGTAGGAATGCAGTTGAATTTCTCCTTCAGTACATATCCAACCAAACATCAGTTCACTTCTCTTTACTGCACATCCTTCCCCCACCCCAACCCTCCCCCAGCTACCATCATCTCACTATTGAAACAGCCTCATAATTGGTCTCTTGGCTTCTCTTGTTCCACGATGCCCCGTTCCAATCCATTTTCCACACAGCAGTGTTCTTTTTTATGTGCAAATTTGATTGTGTCCCTTTTCTAGTTAAAAATCTATGAATTACATAAGACCCAAAAGCCATAAAATATAACACTGATAATTTTTACAGCAAAAATTTAAATTTCTGTATAGAAAAAATACCATTAGTAAAGGAAAATAATTGGAAAAAAATTTTGTGACAAATATGTCAAAGGATTAATTTCCTTAACATAATAACTCTTACAGATCAATATGTAAAAGATAACCAAATAGAATAATGGACAAAGGACATGAGCAAGGAGTTCATAGAAAAGAAAACACAGTCAACAAGCTTTATGAAAAGATGCTCAATTTCACCTCTAATTAAAGATACAAATCAATATGTCAAGGTACCATTTTTAAATTATGAGATTTGGGCAAAAAATATTTTTTTTCTGTCAGGAGGTGGGAGAACACTCTCCCACACTGCTGTTAGGAATGTGAATAGATAAGATTTTTTAGAAAGGCAGTTTGGCAATAGGTGGAAAACGTAAAATGGTACTTAACCTTTGATGTAGCAATTCCATTTTCATTTTCAAATATGTATCTTATATTTTTGCTCATCCCAGTGCCCAGAAGGCTTTTCCATTCTGTGTCCCAGAGCTCCTGGCAGGGAATAGAAAGGCAAGGGTTGAGCAAAGGAGACTGTTAAAATGAAATGGCTCAGGAGCCAGCTGACCACCCCCCTTCAGCTTCCTCCTGCCCCATTTGCTGACATTTGAAATAACATTGATAAGAAACAATTGCCAGTCTTAATATAATAAAAAACGTAAAATGCAAAGACAGCTGCTAGAGGTAACACAACAATGTAAATGAATTTTAGTTAGAGTATAAGTGATAACCTGACACCTTTTATCCCCCCTGTTTTGATCATTGGAGTGAGGAAGGTATTTTTCTTTATCTTTGTAGCAAAGCATTTATTATGTTGTTTTTTAAACCAGAAAACTACAAAGGAGGTAAAAAAGGAATGAGTTATAATGTGCTTGTTTCAAAAAAAAAAAAAAAAGAGAAGAGAAGGAAAAGAAGGAACAAACGAACGAACGGAGGAAAGAAACCAAAAAAGAAAGAAAACGAAATATATGTATAAGGTTAGAAAATTCAAATGGTAGGAGAAAAACACAAAAGGAAATTAAGAGCTCTCCCTGCCCCACCCTTAATATAGCCACTATTGTAATCATTCTTTTCAGGAAAAAGAAAATATATCCTCAAGTGTCTATTTATTTTTTCTTCTTAATTGCTCATAGGGATCCTATACATAATCTTTGATTTTTTTGTTTAAAAATAGAGCCTTTTCATATGAGCACAAGAAACATCTACCTCATTCTTTTTAGAGCACCTACAGTATTCCATCTCATTAACACATCATAATTATTTTAACTTCCCTTTTGTTGGGTGCTTTGGTTGTTTGCACATTTTTATTATTTGAACATTACTGCAGTGAGCATCTTTGTATATGTATCTTGACGAGCTTTTGTTAAGAAAATCTGTAAAGTAATTTCTAGTAGTGGGATTGCCGAATCAAGGGTTTGGGTGTTTTAGATCTTACTAGACACTGCCAAATTGCTTTCCAGAAAGTTTGCACCAATTTGCCTTTTTGTCAGCAAGTTATAAGAGTACTTGTTTACTTGCACCTTTGCCAGGGTGAGTGTGAAAACACATAAATGTTTTTCTTGTCTGTTAGGTAAAAAACTGTTATCTCCTTGTCATTTTGATTTACGTTTCTTTATGAGTGAGATTGAGCAGCTTTACCATCTTTTCAAATGTTTGTTGCCTTTTCCCCCTGCATTAAACAGTGGGGGAAATATTTTAGACACAGAAATGCAGGGGCCCAAAGTGGGGGTGGGGGATGGAAAGGTATAGGGCACACGGGCAGGAAAAAGAAAGATCCATCGGACCAACCATACCTCTTCCTTCCTCTTTCTAGGGCCTACCTGTCTATCTTCAACTGTGCACAGACAGATAGAAGCTGTGAGCAGAGGTATTTCATGTCCTTCCAGACCAGAAAATGGAAACTCCTGTAAGGAAATGTCTCTCCCTCCTGCTCTCCCCACCAGAGCTGGGAGTTACCACCCTAGGGGCCTTTCCTTCCTCTTTCCC